AAGCACTGTCTGACGCGTCTGCCTCCGCGACCCGAAAGGAGAAGCGGCGATGGAAGATGAAGATGAATTAGGAACTGATCAATCTGCATTCATAACAAATTAATACCTGTCACTAATTCAGCAGCAAATGAAAAAAAATTGTGACACGAAGTTCAGTTAATTCTGAGCAGTATTCACGAGTGATATCAGGCAGATTCTGAAAAGTGACACTGGAAGTAATCAAGCTTTAACGCTTTGGAATATGGTAGCGGCATTTGAACTGTCGTGGAATATTCGAGCGTTAAACCTGCCTCGCCAAACGACTGACACCTACTTTACGAATGGTCACGGTGTTTCACATGTCCCTTTTCGGTTTTCTTATAGTTAATAATAGACTTACAAAAAGGTGGCCTTATTCTGTCCACTGCTCTGCAGATAAATTTCAAACATGAACGTGATTCTTCCTAGTCTAGTGTTCCCTGCAATGAAAACGACAAGAACGCCGACGACCATGTATGCGGCTTGCAAAGTTTGAGAAATGTGAGGACGCAAAAAATGCCACTAAACCCGCGAATCCAATCTTTGATCATAATGCTTTCTTCATGGCGTAGTCAAGGAAATTCGATCTTAGGAGAGCTGGTTTCCGGACTTCAAAATTTGCTTGTGGAGTCGATATTTTGTTTGCGAGAAGGGGTGTTGAGACATCGCTGAAAGTCTCAATGACAAAAGTTAATAAGTTGACAACGGGTCGTATATAATCATAACAACGGCTAACCAAAGCGACAATAATTCGGTTTTATTCTAACGCGTTTGTGTATTATGTTATATGGGCTGAAAATCGGTCAAAACTATTCATCTGCTATGCAGACAAAATGTGTAATTCAACATCAAGCAATTACCCGACCCAGTCCGCGAAACGAAGTGCATCAGAGACCGTAGCGCTCAGCATGACGATTTTTACGAAATCCGGTAACATGATCAACACCTCTTCCCAGACGTAGCCGCGCTATAAAAGCAAGTCATCTTTAAATTTGTATAGACAAAACACGGTTTAAGCCGTCGATAATGCCCCGTTTGACTTGGACATGTTGCAAAATTAAACGATTTAAGCAAAACCCGCCAAAGAAAAACAGTCTGTTGGTTTCCACCATGTCATGCCGGCATATGCATAGCCATAGGGTTTAGCATTAGTGATAAAACCCACCCAGCCACAGTCACAAATAAATGCATTGAGCAAAAGTGTTCATATTCACCGCTCCATTGTGAAAAGGGTGACCGGTCAGCTTCAGTCTAATAATTAATGCAGTTTTTCTCATGCGTGGCTGACAGAAATTATGAAGCATATAACCATTCAGTCGAAAACCGACTGTATCATCTTTTGAAATTTGTTATGCACAGACTCGAATAGAGAGAATGTTGCTGCTAGTTTACTTATTAGATAGCTGTTAGTCCTAATTTGTCGATGACAATTAAGGAAAATTACGATCTGTCCTTATTGTTCGTCGTCCGGTTGCGGCAAAATTAACAAACCTCTAGTAATAAATTTCACTGCTCTTTATCTCTACGCATCGTGTCTCACAAAGCGATAAAATTAAATGACAAATGCAATCCGGTAGCAACTGGGCAAAACTTTTCCTCCCTCTGGTTGTGCTTTGTGCTGACAGAACTACTTCGTAATCTGAGTTCTTCCAATTTATAACAAGCTACTTAATTGTTGAATTAGCCCAACGGGCATAAGATGTGTTTGCAAATGAAACTACTGAAGAAACTTTCTAACAGAGAATTCCTAAAATCGGAAGTTTCTTAGAGATGTTTAACCGGTGCTAGTGGAAAGGAAGGTGATATTGGAAGTGGAAAAGACAACGCATAATCAGTTCTTTCAAGAAAAATGACGTCACTGCGGCCCTATTTTAGAGGACGAGGCAAATCGTTATACTATCTATTCATCTCCCCAACGATTTTTCACCCTTTTCCTAAAGATCCTGTGTTGAAGCAAAGGATGAAGATGATAACAACCCTAAATCAACAATCATACATTAAGCTTAACGACAAACAATGAATTATTAATCGTCACCTCACGATCTGAGCAGACAGCCAGTCCAAATGTAAAAATAAGCAATTAACTAGCCCTTCTGAATAAAATATGTTCGAACCGCTAACCTTGTTCACAGAGACGTGCAGTGGTTGTCTGACCGGCAAAGTGATCCTGCCGCCAAGCTGATCGACTGAGGTGGCATCGATCACGCTACGTCTGTGGTCTTTCATCGACTTCAAGCAACAGAAGTAGTTGCTAAGCTATTGATTCATAAGTGTTCTTTAATTTGCATTAATTCTGTCTTTCAGAGTTCTGATGAAAGCAGAAATCAAGTTACTGGATTTGATCAAAGTATGAAGGATTTTCAGACTCTACGTGAGAATGACGATCAAACTCATTCTGAAATGAAGATCCCAGCATGGGACCTAAAGACAAATACGTTAAGTTTTCTTCTCTTAACATTCAACTGGTTTCTACAAACATAATGGAAATTAAAGATATAACCACAAGATTATTGTAAACGAATACAAGAGAAGAACCAAAAATT